TGAAATCCTGTCAGGATCTACGCAAGAGACAATACCTTCTATTTCGACGGAGAGTACCGCTCCCAACACACCTATGGACGTTAGTTCGAACGAACAGGTGGCAGACGCCGTGCTTCCCCGTACCGACGGATCGCCCTCGCCACAGAATTCCTCTTCCGGTCCATCTGAAATGGAAAAGGACTCAGGACGAAACCAATTGATCAATGAATATATGCAGGAGGGATTTGGATCTCTTGAAGTTTCATCCTCGACCGACGCCCCGGTCATGGAGGCTGTCCATTCGCCACCAACGCGACGAGCCACTCCTCGACCAACATTAAACAGCGATGTTCTTCCATCAACGTCGCCTCAACCTCCTCAAACACCATCCACCGATCTGATCTGCTTTGAATCCTTCCGAATGGCTTCACCAACACGTGGAACGCACACCCCTCCACAGCCCGATGTACTCGTACCACAAGGGATTGATTTGCTTTCCGCTTCCCCCACGACATTACCCCCACGGACACCTCAAAAGACTCCGGGACCTTCACCTGGTCCCCTGTTAGACCCGCAGTCTGGAACTAGGGAGAAACAGTTACTCTTCACCCCTCGCACGACGGCCTCTTTTGCGGCGGACGTGGACGTCCCTATCAATACCGCCCTTCTCATGACTAGAGAAAAGGATAGGCCTACCTCGTTGGACGGATTAAAGGAGCAAACCCCGGAAGACCAAGATGCGGAAAGGCCAGTCAAACGGATCAAGGCAGAAACGCCGCTCAGATCACATAAGCATAGCTTGTCTTCCCCCGTCAAGAAGCTAAGACCGTCTCCAGGTCATGTTCCCCAACGTGCACGATTGCTTGGGCAATCCTCGGCTGCGCGTTCGCCGGAGAAAGGGAGAATGCTGGGTGCCAGCACAAGCTACAGGCCAATAGCCCCGAAAACCCCCACCCGCCCAGCTATCCCTTCCGCAAGAGTCCCTCCAACCATCTCTCGACAACTTTTTGCTACACCGCAGCGACCTTCGGCGACTCCACAACGACCAGCAACTGTCTCTAAGACCGAATCAGCTCGTTCTACTGCCGCAAATTACCCTCCTTCAGGCGCCCCGAAACTCCCTTCCGACTTTCGCTTCGTCTTCCAATCTAACATCGCCATGCCGACATCTCCAGAGGCTCAAGAACACACTCATGTTCAAAAATCAGGCGAGGCCAAGACTGTGCTGCTCAACGACTTCAAGTTCGTCCCGGCTCCAATATCTCCGTCTAAATCCCCATTACCTTCTCCAGCGAAGCCTTCAAT